AACCTGTATGAGTTTCTTTCTTCTGCTGAACAACACAAAAGAAGATAGGCTATTTTGAAGATTTTTGGTAACCAAAAAGTTGCTGGTAGCCATTGATGTCCATAGTAGGAGAAAAAATACTATGGAATCAATGGCTATCAGCAACTGTTTGGTTACCAACATTCTTCATAATTCTATATCTTTGTGTTCAGCATAAGAAAGAAATTCATACAGATTTAAAACAACATGAGGCTAAGTAAATTATGATGAAATTTTCATTTTTGGGTGAACTATGTTTTTAATGCATGAGTGAATTTTTTTTATCTTTATTATTATGCAATGTTTCATTAAAATAAAAACCTTTACCACCTAAATGAGCTTCCTGTTCTACTGAAGGGAAAGTAATGTTAAGCAATATCCAAAAAGCTGTTAAGACATTTAGCAAAGTTTTAGCAAACTGACATAGGGCTGGGTGATATAGCTAAAAAATGTATCAACGATATAATGTTTCATATCGTTTGGTATCGATAATTATTGACATTTTTCATAACCTTTTTTAAAACAAAGAGCAATAGAATTTTTTTATTTATTTAACCACTGTATTTTTAAATTAACCCAATTTATTGAGACAAACAACAAATGTTTTTGTTTTAACAGTCAAACACAAAATAAAAATTAAACATTTCATTTCTAATGTTTTATACGCAGATTAAATAGGTCTTAAAGGAACACGCCACTATTTTTGAAAATAGGCTCATTTTCCAACTCCCCTAGAGTTAAGTAGTTGAGTTTTACTGTTTTCGAATCCATTCAGCCGATCTCTGGGTCTACTTTTAGCTGTAGCTTAGCATAGATCATTGAATCTGATTAGACCGTTAGCATCTCGCTCAAAAATGACCAAAGAGTTTAGATATTTTTCCTATATAAAACTTGACTCTTCTGTAGTTACATAGTGTACTAAGATCGATGGAAAATGAAAAGTTGCGATTTTCTAGACCGATATGGCTAGGAACTATGGTCTCATTCCGGGTAATAATCAAGGAACTTTGCTGCCGTACCATGGGTGCAGCAGGCGCAATGATATTACGCAGCGCCTGAAAATAGTCCCCAGCTAGGTAACTTCCAATAAGCCTATTTTCAGGCGCTGCGTAATAAATAGGCTTTTTTATTATGCTTATTTATTATGTTTCACACAGTGCATTTTTCATTTATGTTGGTAAATCTTTAATGCTAAAAATTTAGAAAAATGACATTTATTGCTATTTTGACATTCATTAATTTAACTTTAAGTTAATAATACAAATACTATGTTACATTAAAATTAAACATAGAACATCTTGTTCAGTGGTACAGGAAGGTAATTTCAAAAGAGAAGTTATTACATTTAGATAATGGATAATGAACACATTCTGATAAATCCTACTCGATCAGAACACATGTATTAGGTATATTCATTGAACATGTATTAAGAAAGTAACTTAAAGCTTGACAGATACACCTATGTTTGACAAGTAAATTCATAGATGTTTTTAAATGACAATAAAATGTTTAAATTGTTGTAACGCTGGTCTGACATATTTTTATACAATAATAAATGTTGCTTCGAGTAGAATGGACTAAAAGGAAAAGAATATTGTGAAATATTTAAGTTAAAGAACATTATTGTTAAAAGTAAAAGTGTTCAAAGACTTTCCATGTGCAATTCTGTACTCTTGCAAGTTAACATTTTTATTGTATGTTGCTTGTGTTCAGTGTATAATACTATGCGTTACATCATCAAGTTGTTTTGCAGATCGGATATCCGTATCAGCACTCACATTTTGCCTTTGTGCTTCTCTAGTAGCGAATGCCATTTAGGTTGACTAAGTCTGCTCTCAAATTGTGACTCAAAGAGGAACACACATTTTGTTCTTGATGTCTGGGCAGAACTCAGAGCAGCTAATGATAGAAGAACAGAAGCCTGAAGCAAACTAAATGCTAGGTTACAGCTGTGTTTGTCTCTGTGGCTTTAAAACAGACACTGAAGCTACTGAAGCTCAGGCCAATCAGAAGCATTTACAGTGTTTAGAGTGAATTATTTACTACTAAAATACTTCCTGTATTTTAACTTCTTGTTTTTCTAAAATTATAACACTCGTACATCCTTTTTGATGTCTGTTTTGAATCAGAAGGTGCCAACAATATTATTTGACCTTTTCCAGCTACATTTCCTGTCACATATTCGTCAGTCTGGCCCACTTCACTACCCTGTTAGCTCAGATACGTTTTTAGACCGTGGCGCCTCACTGATGTGCGGTTTATGATCTAATTCAGTATGAGCTTTCACTCGACCAGATTGTTTGCTGAAAGGTAGAAACCTGAACTCAGATGTGGAGTTGTACTTTTAAATCATTGCCGAATGCAACCCCAGAACGCTTTTTGGCCGGAGGAAGCTCTTAATAAGCGAGCTTTTCAACTCTTTGATCGTATAACCTCAGACTCAAGACGTAATCTTTTAGCTGTGACTCCAGAATCAATGTTTACATAGTCTGTCTTTGTACGCTTGTAAGTATGTTAGCGTAAACGTTCCTTTCTCTGTGTGTGTGTGTGTGTGTGTGTGCTGGTTAACAGCGCGTGCTTCACGTCCTTACAAGGACAAGAGAAAGAAACTAACTGGATATGAATTGTCCCGAGCGCTCGCACTCACATAGGCGAAGGGAGGGAGCCACTAGCGGTGGAAGAGAGAGCGTGGAATATTATTTGCTGTGTTTCCCGCTCTGGTTTCCGCAGTCCACCCTCTGCTACTTCAGTTGTGTGTCGGAGCGCTACTGAGTGATGTGATAAGAGTCACCACAGTTAGCTCTCCTTTCTTCATTGTCCTGCTTTCTTTTTCATTTTTTCCCCCACTTCCTTACTGGTTGTCTTTCTTGTTAATTTGCTATTGTCTTGCACTGTTTTAGCTTCCATTTTTGCTTTCTTTCCAACATTTCTATAGTTTTTCTGGGTTTCTTCCTTATGCAATTCCTTCTTTCTTTCCTTGTTTCCCATGTTCTTTCTTTTATCTTTTCTTTTCAACTTTCTTCCCCATCTTTCTTTCTTTCTTGCTTGCTTTCCCACTTATTTTTTACTTTTTAGCTTACTTCTAGCTTACCTTATAAATTTCTTCCTGTCTTTCCCAGTTTCTTCATTATACTATTCCTTCTTTCTTTCCTTCTTCACTTACTGTTTTTGTTCTTTCCTGCATTCTTCCTTTTTTCCTGTTTTTTCCCCTCTGTTCCAGCTCTTTTTCCCCTTCCTTCCTTCCTTCCTTCCTTCCATCATCATCCATCTTTCTTTCCTTCCTTTTCACTTTCTTTTTGTTTTTTCCCCTCTTCCCTTTCAGATTATTTTACAACTTTATTCATGTCTTTCCCATGTTTCTTCCTGTTACTCTTCCTTTCTTTGCTTTTTATTTATTTGTCCTTTCTTTCTTTCCTGCTTCGTTCCATCCATCTTCATTTTTTCTTTTTTCTTTCTTCCTTTTTTTCTCTCTTTCTCTCCTCCTCCTTTTCTTACCTCCTTTCTTTCCCGTTTCCATTTTTTTCCTGCGAGCTGTCCACGGTTTTTCCTTTTCTGCATCCTATACTCCATTTTTCATTATTTCCCACTTTCTTCCCTTTTTCCAATTTTTTCCTCTCTTCCTTTCTAGCTTCCCGTCTTTCCCAGTTTCTTCCTTTTAAGTTTGTTTTCTTTGCCGCTTTCTTTCCTAATTTGTTCGTCGCTTTCCTTGCCTTGCTTGCTTGCATTCTTTAGTTTTTCCCCTCCTTCCTTCCTTGAAATGTGCAGTTTAGCCAGAAATAAAGAACATTCTGGAATTCCCATTGGGAAGCTCAGGACTCACTGTCTAATTTGATTTCATTTATTTGAGGAGGGGAGACTTCCCGTTTTTTGTCTTAATATTTTGTTTGTTGTTTTTGTCTTTAACCCCTTCATTGTGACCAAGCCACCATTTGACTCTGTCTGTGTGTCTGTGTCTGTGTCTGTGTCTGTGTCTGTGTCTGTGTGTGTGTGTGTGTGTGTGTGTGTGTGATAGAGTGTGTGTATGTGTGTGGTCTGGTCTGTTCCGGCAGGATCTTGTGAGTAGTTTCAGCAGCTACCCTAAGTTTAGCCACACTACTGGCCTGATTATTTACCCAGAGACTTCCTACTGTACTGCACACTCCCAGCCCTTCAACAAACACTTCATTATTGAAGACAAAAGCTTACAAGTAATTACTTTGGGGTACGAGCACCAGCTGCAGATATTACCTTCGTTTATTTATAACACACTCTCAGCAGTTGCGTTCAGTGGTTTAATAGTAAAACCCCCATGTGGTTCATTCACATGTGCTCTCAGTAGCAGCACTAATGCACAGGCTCTAATCTGATCACAGTGTTGTTATTGTAACTTTAGGGTCACCGCCGATCTGAAGTACTGTAAGTGTGAGTTTTACTGCGGTTTTGAAAAGGAAATGGGAAGGCCTGGGAACGGATCTCAGACTCAAACAGAGGGGGGTAGGAGGATATACATAACCTGGAGGAAAGGGCCAGTTAACGGCTGTTTATATTTAACTGGCTGGAGACAGACAGCTGAGAGCGGGATCACTAGCCTGACTGGAGATAGTTTACCGCCAACCACTGCGTCAAAAAAATGTGCCTTGATTTAAAGGGACAGTCCACCAAAAAAACTAACAAAATTTGCTTCTGTCATTATTTCCAAACAAGTATGCACTATAAAAATATTCATGACTAAATTTAGGATTAATACAATTGAATTGCATATGAAATTTCCATCTTGTTTGAAGCCAGTCCAACCAAAAACCGAACTTGTCATTGTTTCCAAACATGTATGCAAATAAATAAATAAAAATTAAATTTAAATTAAATTAAATAAAAAATAAAATGAATTTAGGCCTTAAATTATTTATGAATTTAAAAAAAAATATATGAATGCTTTATACTTTTTTTTAATAGGTATTCATGTGAATACTCTAAATATGCTGCCGTGTGTTTGTTTCTTACAGGGATGATCACGGGTTTAGTCCATTGCACTGGGCGTGCCGTGAGGGTCGTTCAGGTGTCGTGGACATGCTCATCATGAGAGGGGCGCGCATCAATGTCATGAACCGCGGCGACGACACACCCCTGCACCTGGCTGCGAGTCACGGCCACCGTGACATTCTGGCCAAGGTGTGAACAGATCATAGCGGATAAACGCTCACAAACACACACACAACTGCACCTGAACAACCACAGTGACCACAACGGTCACAGAAAGGTGTAAACAAACACACAGCTGCAAACAGCAGTTATAAATACTCACACACACAAACTTTAAACACTCAAGAAGGAATAAGGAACTGACAGTGTATATTTTTATACCTTTTAATTCTAAAAAAAACGATTTTGAATGGATGTTTTTGTTTGCTGTTTTGGATACTAAATGTTGTGGTTTGTGTTGTCTAGCTGATCCAGTGTAAAGCAGATACCAATGCGGCAAACGAGCACGGCAACACCCCTCTCCATTATGCCTGCTTCTGGGCCCACAACCTGGTGGCAGAGGTTAGTTTGAAGCGCCCTCTGCTGAAAAAAATGAGAAACTCTGGATTGTGTGAACACTGTTTTCCATGCAGTTGTAATATAATGAATGGGGACTAGAGCTTCCAAACACCATAACATTATCATAAAAGTGGTTCACATGGTTCTCGTGCAATATATTGTTCTGAAGTCTTCTGAATCCATATGATAGTGTTGTGTGGGGAAAATACATAAATTGATTTTCTTTCTGTGCAGCAGAGATATTTCACCAAATGTCTTTACTGTAAACAAAAGATTGAATTTTGGTCTGTTCCTCACATAAAGCTTTAGTACATTATCAGAAGCCTTGGAATATAGCACAAGTTTTGTTAATCACTTCCATGTCATTTTCATTTACATCATTTTTGAAGCTCCGTAGTTCCAGTTAATTTTTATTGCATTGATAACTGTGTTGTCATTATTAACTAAGAATAAAACTATTAAAATTGCTGAAATAACAAAATAAAATACAAATATTAGATAAACAAATCGTGCAAAGTCACATTACTTTTTTTGATGCGCATGGTGGAATTTATTCGGTAAATGTGTTTCCATCGTTGTTTATGCGCATTTTTTCTTATTGGCAAAAAGTTTATCCTACTCAATTGTGCGCATATGTTTTTTTATGTGCATTTTTAGAATTTATGCGCATCTTGGCATTACCATCCAGCATAAAAATAGGTGGATGGAAACATAGCTAATGTCATTTTAATCATACCAGATATGTTATTCTCTCCAGGATCTGGTCAATAATGGTGCTCAGGTGAGCATCTGCAACAAGTATGGAGAAACTCCACTGGACAAGGCCAAACCACAGCTTGCCGCAAATCTGAAAGGTAAACTCTCTTCTTTAATAATGTAGCAAATGTGACGTCAGAAGAATATTTGTTGGAAAGGCTGTTTGTTAACATTGTGAAGCCTCAAAGATCTGTTTCTGTTATATGTTCCATCGGCCCTAATAATTCTGTTGTGTTTATGAATCAGAGCTGGCGGAGAAACAGGGACAAAGCCTGACCAAAGTTCCTTTCAAGGACACTTTCTGGAAGGGAACCACTCGAACGCGACCACGTAAGCACCCTCAGAACATCTGATTCTCATTTAAATTCATAACGTAGATGCTTTGGCAAACAAGCATTTTATTGTCATTCAGCATAACTGTAGATTGCCTTATAAAATGGTATTAATTATCCACAACCAAGGTTTGATTGTTGTATATTTTTCCCATGATGCCTTCAGGTAACGGCACACTAAACAAACAAGCTGGAATAGATTATAAGCAGCTCTCCATGCTGGCCAAGATCAACGAGAACCACTCTGGGGAGGTGAGCTCATTTACCAAGCCACAATAGCTACCCATGTCTCAGAGCGTTTATGGAAGCACTGATGTCTCTGCTCTCTCTCTCTGACAGCTGTGGCAAGGCCGCTGGCAGGGCACAGAGATTGTGGTCAAGATGCTTCATGTGCGGGATTGGACTACAAGAAAGAGCCGTGACTTTAATGAGGAGTACCCTAAACTAAGGTGATGAACCTCCAGTCCAGTGTGCCCAGAATACACAGATTAAAGGCACAGTTTGCCCAAAAATGAATGCTGTTATCATGTATTCACCTCACGTCGTTCCAAATCAGGGTTATTATAGATAAATAGTTTAGTTTAGTTCATTTATTTACCAGGGACCATGCATTTTTAATATTTAATAATTGTGCAATGATGATAACTCCTTGGCTTCTTAGATAAAAATTACACAGCTTGTTTATAAATACTATATAATGGTTTTAACGTGGTTATACTTGTTTGGGACACACTTGTAGCACAATAAGATAAATGTGGGAGAATTATTGTATGCATAAAGTGCACAGGTATAGGTAATTGGTACCTGATATTCCTGAAGATTATCAAGCTTTCTCTAGCACTTCCATAATCATACCAAAATATTTAAAATGCTCAACAATATTTATTACCTCTCTTTTGACTAAAATATCTGAACAACGCTCATCAACTCTCTTAATCAAAAAATACATTCCCACAGTTTTACTCATTAAGAATAAGGCAAGAGTGACATAGCCAATTTGAAACTTTGTTTAGTGCATAAACAACTGTATCATCTGCATACATCTGAACCTGGACCTCTGGACAAACTGTAGGCAGATCATTAATATATAGACTAAACAAAATTGGTCCAAGAATCAATCCTTGTGGGACTCCAATTAGGGCTGGACAATAATTCAATATCAATATGTATCGCGATATAATTTTTTTCAATAATGGTGATATGATTTCCGATATTTCGATATACATTACCAGAGTCTCCCATACGTTGATTTATTTGTGGCGTTTGACTTTGTCGAATAAACATGAGCACTGCACGTTTCAAAATCATAACACGGCTTGTTTTATATGAATGTATCTCTGAAGGGAACCGACTGTCTTGAGAAAAATTTCGATGGCATTTTCATTTGATCTGATAAAGTAGCGTTCATGAGCGGAGCTGCTTTGATTACAGCCATTACTGGGGAAACCACTAGTTTTATCACTCTAAAAGCGCCTCCTGTTGGCAGAGAATGAGTTTGCATTTTCTATAAGCCCGTCTCCAACAACATTTCCAGTTTTTGTTGTTGTTACATTTTTTTGTTTTCTGCAGCGACTCGGGAGCACTTTTCATACCCTTTTTTTCTGGCTGAAGCACATTTGTTTCAATCTATAAGAATAATCAGCCTACACTACAAGTCAAAAGTTTTTGAACAGTACGATTTTTAATGTTTTTTTTTTAAGAATTCTTTTCTGCTCACCAAGGCTGCATTTATTTGATCCAAAGTACAGCAAAAACAGTAACATTTGGAAATATTTTTAATATTTAAAATTGCTTTCTATTTGAATAGATTTTAAAATGTAATTTATTCCTGTGATCATACAGAGCAAAATTTTCAGCATCATTACTCCAGTCTTCAGTGTCACATTATCCTTCAGAAATCATTCTAATATGCTGATTTTCTGATTATCAATATTTAAAACAGTTGAGTAAAAAAAATTTTCAGGATTCTTTTATGAATAGAAAGATCCAAAGATCAGGATTTATCTGAAATGTAAAGCTTTTGTAATATTATACACTATTCCATTCAGTATAATTTTTATTATTTTTGGGGGGAAAGATATTATAGAAATTAATACTTTTATTTAGAAAGTATGCTTAAAATTGATCAAAAGTGATGATAAAGGCATTTATAATGTTACAAAAGATTTCTATTCCAGATAAATAGTGTTCATATCGATATCAGAATTATATTGTATTGACCGAAATTAAGAAATATATTGTGATATAAATTTTGGCCATATCGTCCAGCCCTAACTCCAGTATTACAGTCAAGAAATGGTGAGCATAGGGCTGGACAATAATTCAATATCAATATGTATCGCGATATAATTTTTTTCAATAATGGTGATATGATTTCCGATATTTCGATATACATTACCAGAGTCTCCCATACGTTGATTTATTTGTGGCGTTTGACTTTGTCGAATAAACATGAGCACTGCACGTTTCAAAATCATAACACGGCTTGTTTTATATGAATGTATCTCTGAAGGGAACCGACTGTCTTGAGAAAAATTTCGATGGCATTTTCATTTGATCTGATAAAGTAGCGTTCATGAGCGGAGCTGCTTTGATTACAGCCATTACTGGGGAAACCACTAGTTTTATCACTCTAAAAGCGCCTCCTGTTGGCAGAGAATGAGTTTGCATTTTCTATAAGCCCGTCTCCAACAACATTTCCAGTTTTTGTTGTTGTTACATTTTTTTGTTTTCTGCAGCGACTCGGGAGCACTTTTCATACCCTTTTTTTCTGGCTGAAGCACATTTGTTTCAATCTATAAGAATAATCAGCCTACACTACAAGTCAAAAGTTTTTGAACAGTACGATTTTTAATGTTTTTTTTTTAAGAATTCTTTTCTGCTCACCAAGGCTGCATTTATTTGATCCAAAGTACAGCAAAAACAGTAACATTTGGAAATATTTTTAATATTTAAAATTGCTTTCTATTTGAATAGATTTTAAAATGTAATTTATTCCTGTGATCATACAGAGCAAAATTTTCAGCATCATTACTCCAGTCTTCAGTGTCACATTATCCTTCAGAAATCATTCTAATATGCTGATTTTCTGATTATCAATATTTAAAACAGTTGAGTAAAAAAAATTTTCAGGATTCTTTTATGAATAGAAAGATCCAAAGATCAGGATTTATCTGAAATGTAAAGCTTTTGTAATATTATACACTATTCCATTCAGTATAATTTTTATTATTTTTGGGGGGAAAGATATTATAGAAATTAATACTTTTATTTAGAAAGTATGCTTAAAATTGATCAAAAGTGATGATAAAGGCATTTATAATGTTACAAAAGATTTCTATTCCAGATAAATAGTGTTCATATCGATATCAGAATTATATTGTATTGACCGAAATTAAGAAATATATTGTGATATAAATTTTGGCCATATCGTCCAGCCCTAACTCCAGTATTACAGTCAAGAAATGGTGAGCATGCATCAATAATTCTTCTACATTGTTTCCTTAAATTTAAGTATGTTAACGTATTAGTAGAAAAATTAAACTGACAATTTAGATGAATATTATGATTAACGGCATCAAAAGCCTTTTTAAAATCAAGGAAGACAGCACCAACAACACCTCCCCTATCAAGACTGGATTTAATTTGTTCAACAAAATAACAGTTTTCTGTCTCCGTAGAGTGATGTGCCCTAAATCAAAACAGAACTTATTATTAACTTAATGTATTTCAGCTAGCTGTATAAGAAACCTTTCTCATTTTCATTTTAACTTGATGTACTGAAAAAAAAACATTAAAATCTATAGACGTATATAAAAAACTAATTAAAGTGACTCAAGTTAACTAAAATGGAAATAAAAATGGAAAATATAAAGATGAAAATTTATTCAAAATAGTAATAAAAACTATAATAGTAGTTTTGTTTAATTACACTGATACTAAAATAACCCTGTTCCAAATCTGTATGGCTTACTATCTTTTGTGAAACAAAAGGAGAAATTTGAAGAAGGCCCTAGTCACACATGAATGGAGACTGAAGCTTTCAAGCTTCAAAAAGGACATAAAAGCATCATAAAAAAAATCCATGACTTGTGAGCTATATTCATAGTCTTCTGGAGTCATATAATAGCTTTGTGTGACGATACACAATTTAAGTCACCATTGACTGATAATCTTCTGCAACTGTATAAAAAAAAAAAAAATTTTTTTATGATATTTTTTTAATCTGTAAAAACATCTCCATCGTGTTAGTGGTCTGTTGTTTCTGTCTGTTCATGTGTCCCTCTCCACCTTGGTGTTTCCCCTGTTGTAGAATCTTCTCCCACCCAAACGTGTTGCCCATGTTGGGGGCATGTCAGTCTCCACCCGCCCCTCATCCTATCATAATTACACACTGGATGCCCTATGGCTCCCTCTACAATGTGCTTCACGAGGGAACCAGTGAGTAAAACACACACATTACTGTCTCACACAGATCATTTGGTGTTTATCAACTTCATTTGAATGTTATTGAATGTTTAATAATATTAGAAATACGCTTAATTGCTCCTTAAATTCGGGACATGACATAAAAGAGGAAGTCTTTAATTCTTAAATTTACCTTAAATTTCCTGTATCTTTATCGTTCTCTTGTCCATCTAGACTTTGTTGTGGATCAGACGCAAGCGGTGAAGTTTGCTTTGGATATAGCTTGTGGAATGGCTTTCCTGCACACACTGGAGCCCATGATCCCTCGGCATTCTCTCAACAGCAAGAGCGTCATGGTGAGGAACTTAAAGCAGGCGTTTCCTGTTAATCTTGGTTTCTACAACTTTGGGTTTTTCCAGAGTGTCTATTCCTGTTGTACAAGAGAACATTAAGATGTGTAGTTACAAGCTGAGCACTAGATTCATTTCCACAGAATTTAGATACTCAGGGTTAACCAGTGATTGCGAAATACACTTTCACTGTTTGTTTATTTGCTGTCATGGTATGTGGAACTGATTCAGTGAAACTTGCACTCCAGAAATGTAGTCTCAGCAGATAGACCACTGTGAACAGGAACTTTTATAAATGGTCTCAGTTCTCTGTGAAGTATCTGTGCATCCCACCACAAGTTCAGAGTTTCACATTGTGAAGTAATGCAGTGAAAGTACATTCTTTGGTAGTGGATTTCTCAATGCCTCTTAAGATTTTGGAGTAACAAACATCAGTGGTCTGTAATGTCCTTATGGAATGTCAGTAGGTATCAGTTTAAAGCACAATAGTAAAGCCAAGCCTCAACCAAACAACTTCTCAAACTACTAATAGCTGTACTGGTCACATTACACACAATCAACTGTCTGAGGCAGCAAAAACCTGAGCTTACCCTAACTGACTGTTTCATGCTCGCACATCCTAAAGAATCTGTTCTCATTGATTCATTGACATCAGATTGATGAAGACATGACGGCCAGGATAAGCATGGCAGATGTTAAGTTCTCCTTTCAGTGTCCTGGCAGGATGTACTCTCCTGCATGGGTGGCACCTGAAGGTACTGTTCCTTTTTTCATTCACTGAATTCTTAATTTCAAACTTCTCAAGAAGATTTAATTTTTTCCACTTTATTTGTCTAAGATATGGTCACATTAGCGAAGTTTCTACAAATTTTCTCAGGCAAAAAAGTTTCAGTGTCTATTATCAGTAGTGAACCAATATATGAAGCAGAGCTCACACAAAAGTCACATTCAAACCAAGCAGCTTTCTGTTGGGCAATGCAGAAAATCTGCATGACCAGTGTGAACCCATTGTGAAATCTGCATTGAGAAATCTTTCTTCACACTTGCGTGAATTCCATTTGAAATGACTGGATTTTACCTGCAGAAATTTGCAGAACAGTGGTAGATGTGACCGCACCTTAAATTTTGATTCACTGATATCTTATCTCTTCTCAGCCCTGCAGAAGAAGCCAGAGGAGATTAACCGGCGCTCTGCAGACATGTGGAGTTTTGCAGTGTTGCTCTGGGAGCTTGTCACCAGAGAGGTGCCCTTCGCTGACCTCTCAAACATGGAAATTGGCATGAAGGTGAGATGAGTCTATGACTTTGGAAAGCAAGAGCTGAGCCAAAAAGAAACAAAAATGTAGGGGTGCTTGGGGTAAAAATGCAGCCAAAATAAACAAAAATGCCCCCCAAATGCAAGATATGGTGAAACAAAAATGCCTCTGCACAGTTAAACTAAAAGTAATACGACTATCACCATTCTTGTGAGAGCGCTGAACTCATGTGAACTTGCAGTTACCTCATTGAGCACTTCAGCCATAGGGAACATTCTTTGCATGTAATGAATTCCTTTAACCAACATTACTAATCATCATTACAACATTAAGGGCAGTAATTGACAATCATTTTTGTTATAATATTTCTGCCTTTCACTGCTATTCTGATTGACAGATTGATTGATTGATTGATTGGTTGAAATATTTGACAAAGGTTAAAATGCACCAGGAAATCGCTTTTAGGGTGCAAATTCTGACCCTTAAAGTAATAGTTCACCCAAAATTAAAATTTGTTGAAAACATATTAACCCTCGACCCATCCAAGGTGTAGATGCGTTTGTTTCTTCACTGGAACAGACTTGGAGAAATTTAGCATTATATCACTTGCTCACCAGTGGATCCTCTGCAGTGGATGGGTGCCGTCAGAATGAGAGTCCAAACATCAAAATAATCCTCAAGTAATCCACATGACTCCAGTCCATCAGTTAATGTCTTCTGAAGTGAAAAGCTGCATGTTTGTAAGAAACAAAACCATCACTGAGACGTTTTTCCACTTCAAATGAGTCAATAATATTGTTTTCTCCAGTGAAAAAGTGGTCTCGTCTGAATCAGGAGAGAAATATGATCAAACGCTATCTAGAAGTGAAAAGTGTCAAAAACATTTCTAAACAAAGGTAAAAAAAATTGCATTTTGATGTGAGATGATAACAGGGGATGGACTATTTTTTAGTAGAGGAAGCATTTTTATTGATTATGGACTATTTTGGCAAGAAATTACAAAGAAATGCTTTAATTATGAATTTGTTTTAAACATGCAGCTTTTCAGTTTGTAAGACATTAATTGATGGACTGGAGTCGTGGATTACTTGTAGATTATTGACATTTTTATCAGCTGTTTGGGCTCTCATTCTGACGGCACCCATTCACTGCAGAGGATCCATTGGCGAGCAAGTGATGTAAAGCTAAATTTCTACAAATCTGTTAAAGAACAGGGTGTCCGCGGGTCCTTAAAAAGTCTTAAAATGTCTTAAATATTTTTGGTCTCATTACCGCTAAAATATCTTAAGTCTGACGGACCTAATGACTTTACAATCACTGGACAGACCCGCGGTAAGTTACTGAGTCATCAGAGAGAATACAGAATACAAGCTCGCGCTGAGGCTCACTCTGTTTATCTCGATACTTCAGAACAAATGAGCGTGACAGCGCACACAAACTCAGAAGAAACACCCTGAGGTAAAAATTCACAATGTTTAGTTTATTCATAACATGACATAGTTAAATAACACCATGACAAGTGAGCTACTTGGCTCAATATTCTCACGACACAAAAAAATAAACATTCAAAACACCTACAGTGCACGCATTACGTGAAGTCTAGTGTTCTGCCTGATCGCTGCCTGATTCGGTCTATTAAAATACATTCAGAATGATCACAAATTCAAGACATGGGGGCAGAAAATGTGTATATTTATACTCAAGTTCACACGGAAGAGTGCCTTTTTTTATTCCAAAAAGTACCATATACAAATGTGATATTGATTTTTTTACAACAGTTCAATAAACTAGAAGTTTTATTAAGAGACTTACGGTTTAGACACCATATTGCCTGTTTTTGCACTGTTTCGCCAACAAAAATAATTCCAAACAAAGCCACAGAGCTGTTTTGCGTCTCTGAGCAACATGACGGTGTTTCGTTCCCGAATGAATCACTCGATTAAATGATTCGGTTTAGTCGCAATGACTCACTTATTAACAGTGACTCGGCTGCCACCTACTGGCGCTTTTAATTTCACATTTAAAGTATCTTTTCATTTTTTAAATGATTTCAAATATCAATATTCAATGTTTTATGTTTAATATATCAAAACATTATTTATGCATTTGTAACTGCAGGTTAAATGCATTCATGTCCTGCATTAAACAGCGTGTAAACGCATCTAAATGCCACTTCAGATGCAGCTTATGTCTGGATTGCAAAGATGAATTTGGTTCATACTGATTTCATTTGCTTGGTAACAGCCCAAATGTCTTATTCTTATTCACTGATTAAATGTAAGAATTGGACTCAAAAGATAATGCACACTTATAGAAAAATGGCTTTATAAAGGTAAAATGCCCATAAAAGGTAAAAATC